CGGTAATATTCTATGAGGTAATATTCTACCAGGTAACATTCTAACAGGTAACGTTCTACCAGGTATCGTTCTTCAAGGTAACATTCTTTCAAGTAACATTCTACCCGGTAATATTCTACCAGGTAACTTTCTACCAGGTATCGTTTTTCAAGGTAACATTCTACCAAATAACATTCTACCCGGTAATATTCTACCAGATAAAATTCTACCCGGTAATATTCTATGAGGTAATATTCTACCAGGCAACATTCTAACAGGTAACGTTCTACCAAGTAACGTTCTACCAGGTAATATTCTACCAGGTACCATTCTACCCGGTAATATTCTACCAGGTAACATTCTACCAGGTAACCTTCTATCAGGATATATTCTACCAGGTAATATTTTACCAGGATATATTCTACAAGGTAACATTCTAACAGGTTACGTTCTACCATGTATCGTTCTTCAAGGTAACATTCTACCAAATAACATTCTACCCGGTAATATTCTACCAGATAAAATTCTACCCGGTAATATTCTATGAGGTAATATTCTACCAGGTAACATTCTAACAGGTAACGTTCTACCAAGTAACGTTCTACCAGGTAATATTCTACCAGGTACCAGTCTACCCGGTAATATTCTACCAGGTAACATTCTACCAGGTAACCTTCTATCAGGATATATTCTACCAGGTAATATTTTACCAGGATATATTCTACAAGGTAACATTCTAACAGGTTACGTTCTACCATGTATCGTTCTTCAAGGTAACATTCTACCAAATAACATTCTACCCGGTAATATTCTACCAGATAAAATTCTACCCGGTAATATTCTATGAGGTAATATTCTACCAGGCAACATTCTAACAGGTAACGTTCTACCAAGTAACGTTCTACCAGGTAATATTCTACCAGGTAACGTTCTGCCATGTTATATTCTACCAGGTAAAGTTCAAAAAGGTAACATTCTGCCAGGTAACGTTTTACCAGGTAATATTCTACCAGGTAAAGTTCTACCAGGTAACGTTCTTGCAGGTAACATTCTTCCAGTTAACGTTCTACCAGGTCACATTCTCCCAGTTAACGTTCTACCAGGTGTCGTTCTTCAAGGTAACATTCTACCAGGTAACATTTTTGCAGGTGATATTCTATCAGGATATATTCTACATGTACTAGGTAACATTTTATCAGGTAATATTCTACCAGGTAACGTTCTACCAGGATATATTCTACCAAATAACGTTCTACCAGGTAATATTCGACCAGGTACCGTTCTGCCAGTTAACGTTCTACCGGGTAAAATTCCACCAGGTAACGTTCTTGAAGGTAACGTTCTACCAGGTAATATTCTTCCAGGTAACGTTCTGCCAGGATAGATTCTACCAGGTATCGTTCTACCATGTATCGTTCTCCCAGGTCATATTCTACCAGGTAACACTATACTAACATTCTCCAAGTTAACGTTTTACCAGGAAACGTTCTACCAGGTATCGTTCTTCAAGGTAACATTCTACCAAATAACATTCTACCAGGTAATATCCTACCATATAAAATTCTACCCGGTAATATTCTATGAGGTAATATTCTACCAGGTAACATACTAACAGGTAACGTTCTACCAGGTAACGTTCTACCAGGTAATATTCTACCATGTAACGTTCTGCCAGGATATATTCTACCAGGTATCATTCTACCATGTATCGTTCTACCAGGTTATATTCTACCAGGTAACACTGGTAACGTTCTACCAGGTAACGTTCTACCAGGTAATATTCTACCAGGTACCATTCTACCCGGTAATATTCTACCAGGTAACATTCTACCAGGTAACCTTCTATCAGGATATATTCTACCAGGTAATATTTTACCAGGATATATTCTACAAGGTAACATTCTAACAGGTTACGTTCTACCATGTATCGTTCTTCAAGGTAACATTCTACCAAATAACATTCTACCAGATAAAATTCTACCCGGTAATATTCTATGAGGTAATATTCTACCAGGCAACATTCTAACAGGTAACGTTCTACCAAGTAACGTTCTACCAGGTAATATTCTACCAGGTACCAGTCTACCCGGTAATATTCTACCAGGTAACATTCTACCAGGTAACCTTCTATCAGGATATATTCTACCAGGTAATATTTTACCAGGATATATTCTACAAGGTAACATTCTAACAGGTAACGTTCTACCAGGTAACGTTCTACCAGGTAATATTCTACCAGGTAACGTTCTGCCAGGATATATTCTACCAGGTATCGTTCTACCATGTATCGTTCTACCAGGTTATATTCTACCAGGTAACACTATACCAGGTAATGCTCCACCAAGTAAAATTATACTAGGTACTATTCTACCAGGTAACGTTCTACCAGGTAACGTTCTACCAAGTAATATTTTACCAGGTACAAAAATGTAACGTTTTACCAGGTAACATTTATGCTTAATATGTGTTTACGGTATGTCATAATTTGTTGATTGTTTCAGTGAACTCTTAGAAATTGTTTTCTCTCATCCACCACAAGTGTGTCTCCCGTTTTAGCCGGGAAAGATCAGCATGTCACCCCCTAGGGGGAGATAGCCTCGTGCCGATTAGCACGTGTTCAAATGTGACGTCATTAAAATGTGTCACTGGCAATTGTGACGTCATCAAAAGTGAATGAACAGACAACTGTCGATGGAGTTGTGACTGAAATAATAGGATGGGAGAAAAGTAATCATCCCCTACCTTGAGGATGTAACAGAGAAATTCTAACCCTCGGTGTGATTGTTTTGCAGAGCCTCGGGTTAGACAACCAAAAAACATCACTCCTCGTGTTGGGGATTTCTCGATCACACCCTCAAGGTAAAGGAAGATTCTATTAATCATTTTCATCGTATACAACCTGGGCGAGCGAGGAGGGGTAAATCCTTTACCAAGGAATTTTCTGTGACGGATTGGAACCCAACCTTCGTACCAAACAAACACTTGCACAACTGTTTATTTGTCAAATTAATCATTTATCAGGTTTATTATGTGGGATCACCAATGGAATTAATGGTCTCTGGTGTGAACTTTGTCATGCTGTTTGAATAAACGACCTTTTCATTCGTTCTTTGACGAGTTATTCTTGATGCTATTGGTAACCATGAACAAGGTTTTTGTGATTTGACATCAATGCATATTTATTGTAAATTTACATCACGTGGTTTGTTCTTTTGCAAGTAATAAAACGTCTTTTAATTAGTATGCACAAATGCTTGAATAAAAGTATGAAATTCTTTTATTTTTCATTTGTTAGAATTCTTAAAGTACTCCTACTTGCCTGAAGCACACGGCGACGGTTTTTGGGCGTGCAACAACACAGCAAACCGACAGTAGGTATCCAAGTCTTCCAAAACATTTATAAGTATAACATGTATATTCAATGTTTCCTTGGTTTACTTTCGTAATTGGAAAACCATTGTGTTGTTTCGCAACATTCATTTTTACCGAATACACTTTTTAACTGAATGAAACTTAAACTGCATACAATTTTACAATGAAATAATGGTTACATGTAGATGACGTCATCATAATATTTTCTTTTCCTTGCAGCGAAATAATTTCAATACAATTATCATGTCCTTGAGATTATTCATTTCAAGTTTATATGATAATATGTATTTGTAATTTTGATGTCGTAACATTAAAATGTATGATCAGCTGTTCTCATTCTCAGAAGAATTGTGTTCTTCAGCCAATGAAAAGCTGTTTTATATAGTTATAAATATGGTTATACTTGGTTAGTGTTTTGCTTTAACTTTATGATGTTTCGTATAGCCAGGAGGCGTTAAGCAAATATTTGTTGGCTAAAGTAAAAACTGGCCGTACATGGGAGTGTATTAGTCGGTATTATGTATCAATGTGATGACATATAAAAAAAATCCAATGCTTCAATAACGGGAAAAAAACCTGAATGATATTTTATTTGCAGTGATTGGAGACCGTTTGTGCCATGTATATATGCCGGCGACCACTTTCAAGAATTAAGGCGTATGTATTAGATACTCATACATGTACTGCAAGTATTGTGTTAAAGAACAGTACAGTTATGTTTCGCAAAACAAGAACATCTTATATTGTATTGAATTTTGATAAGTGTTGGATTAGTAATTGGATGTTCGAAATAGTCTAAAGATTGTTTTCTGTATTATTTATATAAGGGGCTGTCAATGAACTAGCTTTCATCTGTTGTCCTATCAAAGTGCCAGTTTATATGTTTTCTGCAACAGCAACAGGCAATCAAATAAAGATAGCGATTTAGTAAGAACTTTTGTTCTGTATGAAAAGTAAAATACGTTTTCCATTTCAGCCTTACCGAACACGGTTGCCACTATTCTTGGACAGGATATGACGTCAGGAAATCTGTATGGTGTCAATAACAATGGCCTTGGATACGTTTATAGCAAAAATGGCGGACACAGCTGGGTATCTATACCGGACAGAGTCTACAAGCGGGCGTCAAATGTAGAGGACTTCCGAATAGCAACCTTGGTTTAGTCACCAACAAGAGTGTCTGTTGATGTACTTTGATATGGATATCCATCGTATCAATACTTTAATATTGATACAAAGTAGCAATAAATGTTGAAATATATACATGAAACTGAAATAAAACAGATATCGCACAAAAAAACGACCACTTCAATTGCTCAATCGCCAAGATATGTCTTTTTTTCCATGTAAGTTCGGAAAATAGACGATGTCTTAATTCGTCTCAATGAAAACATTGATTATTCTGTCACCCTTCAGTATCATGCACGGCAAATCCATCTTCTTACATATCTGTCTGTTATTATAATTTATTTAAATATTAACATTGTTTTAAAATGTCAATATGACATTAATATACTAAATGACGTAACATCCTGGTTGATGACATTGGCGGTATAGTCTACATCTGTACCTGTGAAAATAGCATTTTAGTTTGTCCGCTGAATAGTAGATCATTCTCATACGACAGAAATAACATACTAATCTTGATTTAGAATGATTTAATAAATACATATTTATGTATACACATGTATCAACAATAATCCTTTTAGTATATGTTTACTATGTATATTTTAAACACTCTAAAAGTTTTCAGCAAATCATCACAACAAACAAGTCAGTAGGTGGCTGTACCACGGTCAATAAATATCACACAAGTGACAGGTGATCAATCCCTTTCTCTGGTCCATACAAAAACTAAACATTGTAGCCATTTACAAAATTTGCAGTTATCAAAAATTCAATGAATGAAAAATGCATCAAAATCTTAGCACACAACGACAGAAATTGGATCTCAAAATCGATATAAAAATAGTACACGACGAGAACTGACGATATATGCCTGCATTAGGTATGTCAAATGTGCAAACTAAACTATTAAAATATCCGTTACGTTTTAATTAAGCTTAATATTAACATCAAATAGCAGACAGATTGTTGATGATTTATGACATCCTATGATGTCATAAGTTATATAATGTATCAATAATGTCGACATCCTTTATTTACCTCTTTATAAACAATGAATAATGAAAGATTTGTAATTACTGTGCAATCACAGAATTTCATCTTTTGTTTTTAATTCATCTTTTTCATCTACGAATTCATAGGTCCCACGAAGAAATCACAAGTTTGACATAAAGCTATTCCATATAAGTGGCTACTAGTGACCCTAGAATTCATAAACCCAAGAAATTGTGATTGTTTGGAAAACCACGAAATTTGGACCCTAAGAAAGTATGATTTCAGAGTAGTATATTACTCACATACTCTGTATACCACAAATGATGCTTCACATGTATGATTCCCGAGGGCTAACTATGACCGTATAAAAGTGACTTTAAAATGATATATAGAATATTCACTTTATATACACATATAAGCTTGAAAAACATGATATATTACATAGCCGAATGAACACAATAAATGAACTTGAAATATAAATATTTTGGCACAAAGCAGTCAGCAAATACGTTATGAGATCTTCCCTCCTTGTAAATAACGTCATACAGTTAATAGGTCGTGTACTGCAGTCGTCAACCCAAACTCAGTAGATCATATTATTGGTCGACGATCCGGATTCACTTTGGCTGGAGGCCGATCCGCTCCTTTTATTTGTATTAGAAAATATGGTCGGCAGCCTGTTAAAGCGAAATAAATAAATAGTTGTATATAGTAGCATTCGTTTGATTTAATTGCTATAATATGGCGAAAGGAGAGTTCATCTTTTGTATGACATGCAACTCTTTTATTGTATGCTTCAGGTTACTTTAAATAATGAATGTTCTTGATCGAAATAAATCTTATTAATCCCCATTTAGACTGGCCCCCCTCTCTCGAATATTGAATATTTTAGAAAATTATATAACTTTATTTAACATAAACGCTTGTGTTCGACTCTGATGATGATACTAGATAGGAAGGGACAGTGTCAGACAGGTAGAGTGTAGCTATAGGTAAACCCAGGGTTTTGAATCATCCGTAAAAGATCTAAACAAGGTGGAGATAAGGTAGTAGTAAAATGCAGTTGATAAATTCTTCATAAATAATTTAGGTGCTGGTAGCCAGTCTAATCCCTATATCACTGCAAAAAAATGCAATAAGCATTGGAGCTGTTTCTTCTGTCGTGACTAAAGCTTTGATAAGAAAACCATACATTGCGGGACTTTTATGAACAAATGATGAATATTTATAAATATATTTATATAATCAGTGTTCTGGGTGTAAAGATGCAGTGGTACTAGGCCGAGACTCGAACCCTTGACTTCTGGTTGATATACTATCGCTCTTACCGATTGAGCTACTGTGCCAACGTTAGTGTCCAGACGGACCTGCGTTGCAGTTATTTCCAAAACGATATAAAGGGGAGAATACTGTGTATATATATACGAAACCTCACAGTGCAGTTGGATAAAGATCTTTGGACAATATACATGACATTGTCTATACAACACATTTTATTTTTATGACTCGTCATCATTTTCATTAATAAAGAGTTCAGTGATACCGGATATAATTAAGGAAGATCTACTTTAGAGCTCATTATTCTGGATTTATTCTCTTACATTTTGAAATGAATAAGTAATTTAATTCAAGGGAACTCTTTCAACTAGAATTCATTCCTTGTTAAGGTATTTACCTCTATTTGATGGGGCGAGGTTTTAATATCTTGACATCTACATAAGGATAGTATAGAACTATTCCTGTATTTTTTTTATTTCTCTTTATGTTTAGATTTTTGGTTTTAGAATATTCAAATTCCGAAAAAACGATCAATCTGTAAGATACATCGCGATGTGAGTTATACATGTATGGAACAGTTCTGTAAAAAAATGTTTAAACCAGTATTTTTGAAAGTGAAAATGGCGAATTTAGAATTATATTATCTACATTAAAATCATCTTACAGCATAAATAGCTAGCATGTCATTGCTTGTTCTGTAACTATGCTTACACGTGTTTTCATCACATTTGACGTCACCTACCTTGCGTATTTGTTCAACACGTCTAAATAATCTTTCGAACATTCATCCTGTGGAATTTTTCCTTCCATAATTTCTAGAGATCTGGCCTTCATCCTGTAAGTGGATGTCTTTTTCATAGGGTGTCCCAGAGGATTCATGTCCCTCTGGACAGAAGGTGGACGCTTGCGAGGAGGCATCTGGTACTTGTTGTTCGACATGTCCAGGGGATTATCACAAATGTTGTCGTGCAGAGAGAGGAACAGCGGGATATAACACATATAATCCAGGAAGGAAATCTGTCGGTAAGACAAAGATCAAATTACATGGCATTTCATCTGGCTCGATCGCTGTATCATAAATAGCAAATTCAATCCAAATGATAATTCAATAAAATTTATTTCGGAAAATTTAATAAGTTCAATTTATTTTCAAAATTCGTATTCATTTTCATTTATATCAATCAAATATTTTCAAAATATGAGCATCTATTTTTGTTCATATAGATTTTTGCTATTTGAGTATGAAATTAAACGACATTTACATAAAGATCAGATATACAATGCGATCCTGATGATATCTTCCATACCCATACGCTGTTTCTCGAAGCATTACGCAAAAAAACTCTATCAATTCAGATTTCTTTTGTAATTTCAGAGCTTATCGTTGCGTACGAATAGTTTGTATTTCATTTAAACATAAAATATTTAACTTAACACTGTGGTACGCAAAAATATCTTCATTAATACTATATAAATTCATGTAATTATTTAAATAATGAAAATAAAAGAACGTGCTCGGCATGCATAGAGAATTTACAATGGTTGTAAACGGGAAAGGAAACACAATTTAATTATATCATTTCCATTGATAGTTCACGAGATACCTTATCTCGCGTGAATTCGAGACAGGGTTGATCCCGTAATCGATTAGCTCGTCCACGTTGGTTCTTGGATCTTTATGCGATACGCAACAAAATAAGTGCTAATTAAGTTATTTGAAACACCATCGCAATACTTTAATTCGGATTAAAAAAGCATTAACTATTTCATACTTGAAATCACAAACATTGATGCTTATAGAATTTAATCACTCATTTTCCAAGAGACATTACTCGTGTTCAGTCGCAAAGAGCAAAAATCACGGGTTTAAGAGATCTATTACGGAATAAATCAAGAAATGAACATCTTGTATTTCCTTTGACGAAATCAAACCCTGTTTGATGCATCGGAAGTAAATTCGTTAGAGAAAATACTCGTATAAATCAGCAAATGACTTTCAACATAAGGGCGTTGATATTTTAATTAATAACGCTGTGAATTTCCAGTACCTCGCCATATTTGTTTGGCTCCATCTTTTCCATGACAAAGTCCTGCTGGGTCCAGTTCAGTCCTCCAGCTATCATCTCGATCTTTAGGGACTCCGAGGTTATGTGGTTGCTGTTCCGGTAGGACGGAACATTGTGGTAAAACATGGCCTTGTATAAATCCATCTTACGTTCTATATCTGCAATACTACATATCTCCAATAGGTGTTGGCTGAGAGAGCTGAAAAGTAAAATAAAGAAACATATTTATATACCAATTACACAATACACATTTAGAGAGCCCGAAATAGGAACAGGGAACATAATTAATCAAAAGCATTGAATGAAACTACAGTATAACATCCATGTATCGTGTTTTGTATTATGTATCTGAAACTAAAGTATAGATTTACTCATATGTATGTATCATTGATTTATATGCGTACAAAATAGCATTCTACAAATTAATATATATATAAATTCTTGGAGACAAACTAGTTGTTATTGTTTTTACATCATTGATATGGTTGTACAAAACAGCATTCCACAACATGCGTATATGGACTGAATTCACGACACGCTCTCATTTGGCCCTATACACTCTTTATACCACTTACTCCATGTTGGTCACACGCTCACACAACGCTGTTATCACGGAGAACATCCGGAACGTCACTTCCGTCGCCTCATCAATGTGAAGGACCTGATGATGAAGAGAGGGTATGAGTTCAATTGTTCAAAGGGTCTACTAACGTATTATCAATTGAAATATGTTATATGCAAGAAATGTAGCGTCTAAGCAACGTTGGTATCATTGTCTTTAATTTAACACACATTTAATGCACTTTTCTTTGATATCAATAGAAAAGTACTTTAGTAAAAAGTACACTTTTGGGTGAATTCTTGCATTTAACTAACTTTCGACAGTGTTTTTAGTTTATCCATATTGTTAGAACATTCATAAAAATATGGCATTGTTCATAGGCAACTGTTAGTATATTTAGCATCTCAATATCGATACAAGCTGTCAATTTTGCTTAAACACCTGATGATGAAGAGAGGGTATGAGTTCAATTGTTCAAAGGGTCTACTAACGTATTATCAATTGAAATATGTTATATGCAAGAAATGTAGCGTCTAAGCAACGTTGGTATCATTGTCTTTAATTTAACACACATTTAATGCACTTTTCTTTGATATCAATAGAAAAGTACTTTAGTAAAAAGTACACTTTTGGGTGAATTCTTGCATTTAACTAACTTTCGACAGTGTTTTTAGTTTATCCATATTGTTAGAACATTCATAAAAATATGGCATTGTTCATAGGCAACTGTTAGTATATTTAGCATCTCAATATCGATACAAGCTGTCAATTTTGCTTAAACANAGGTCATATATTTTGGAAAAAGATTGACAAAATCAGTAAACAGTTTTTGCATAAATGTACAGTGGAGTCCTGGTCATTCAGCATCTTAGTTTCCAGCGACTACTGCTGGATATTGATACCGTCGGAACAATGGTTACTGTAACTTTTGTTTAGAAAGACTAAATTACTGTTATGATGTTTATTATCGCAGCTCATCTTTACGCTTGTCATATTATTCTGCAAATCATATTTTCCCAATCACGTAAATGAGCCGTGAAATCGCGAAAATATCATACACGCGAAAATATCATACACGCGAAAATATCCTGCTGTACGGTCTTTAGAGTAAACAATTCGTATCCGACTCACGTTAAGGTTTAAGACGGTGTCATAATCTTCGTCTTCTATTACAAACGCCTTGGCGTACCCATCGATCTTTGTAGGGTCGACCAGCCGGTAGTGTGCCAGGAAGTCAATGGAGGATTCTGTATGTGACACAAACATTTCCTGAATATATCCTTCACAAGTGAATGTACGTAATCCCAATTGATATATGAGATTGTTTTTTAAGGCGGCTTTTTTTATGCATTTGAACATTTCAAATTATTCCAATATTTTTTTTTCTGCATACAGAAAGTATGATTTTAACAATAATGGGTGAAATGGCGATCCACTGCAATGTGATCTAGCTGACAATAACAATTTTACAGTGCATTATTACACATATGAATGAGTATAATCTTATCTAAAATCTTATAAAGTATAATAAATGTTTAGTGGTAATACAATTGATCTATAAATAATAACTTAACCTAGAGCATACACAAGTTGGATTTACTTATGTCTTTCAACGTGCATTATGTTTCAGATACGTATTTATAATTAGATATACAAGTCATTGTGTAAAGCACATCGAAAATGAAATGAAAATTACTGAAACGTTATTAGTATAATCATCAAACATTTCATTACTGACAATTCTGATATTTACTGTACCCCTTTCGTCCAAGTTTCGTTTGGCACGTTCCAACAGAGTGCATTCGTCAATTATTCGTTGTAGGTGGCGCTTCAGTGCTGATCCGCCTCGTTTGAACAGCACATTGACCCGCCTTTTCCCTTTTACTGGAAATTAAGAACATTATCTAAACTTGCTCATATTAAAATCTAAATTATGCCACACTATGAACTATGTAAGAACTTGATAATATGATTTAAAAGTCTTAACATATAGTAAGTATCAACATTATTTTATCGACTAAAATAACACGTTTCAATATAGTAAGGTCCGTAAGTGATGTTGAAACTGAATCCTGGGCACTTAATAATTTTGCATATCCTCAAATAAACACTAATACAATTATACGTAAATTATATAATAATTTAAACACGGTATACACGAGATCACTGTGTTATGAAACCATTTCCTGGACGTCTTATTGTTATAATCGCCAGATTAAGCTGTTATGCTGGCAGTAATGCGTTGTATGTGACTACTGTTCTGAACATATCAGTAAGTGTGTTGATCTATTACGCATTGTATGTAACTACTGTTCTGAACAGATCAGTAAGTGTACGGATGTATTACGCGTTGTATGTGCCTACTGTTCTGAACATATCAGTAAGTGTGTTGATGTATTACGCGTTGTATGTAACTACTGTTCTGAACATATCAGTAAGTGTACGGATGTATTACGCGTTGTATGTGCCTACTGTTCTGAACATATCTGCAAGTGTATTGATGTATTACGCGTTGTATGTGACTACTGTTCTGAACATATTACTGTTCTGAACATATCAGTAAGTGTATTGGTGTGTTACGCGTTGTATGTGCCTACTGTTTTGAACATATCAGTAAGTGTGTTGATGTGTTACGCGTTGTATGTGACTACTGTTCTGATCATATCAGTAAGTGTGTTGATGTATTGCGCGTTGTATGTGACTACTGTTCTGAATATATCAGTAAGTGTGTTGATGTATTGCGCGTTGTATGTGACTACTGTTCTGAACATATTACTGTTCTGAACATATCAGTAAGTGCACGGATGTATTACGCGTTGTATGTGCCTACTGTTCTGAACATATCAGCAAGTGTATTGATGTATTACGCGTTGTATGCGATTACTGTTCTGAACATATCAGTAAGTCTACTGATGTATTACGCGTTGTATGCGACTACTGTTCTGAACGTATCAGTAAGTGTGTTGATGTATTACGGGTTGTATGTGCCTACTGTTCTGAACATATCAGCAAGTGTATTGATGTATTACGCGTTGTATGCGATTACTGTTCTGAACATATCAGTAAGTGAGTTGATGTATTACGCGTTGTATGTGACTAATGTTCTGAACATATCAGTAAGTGTACGGATGTATTACGCGTTGTATGTGCCTACTGGTCTGAACATATCTGCAAGTGTATTGATGTATTACGCGTTGTATGCGATTACTGTTCTGAACATATCAGTAAGTCTACTGATGTATTACGCGTTGTATGCGACTACTGTTCTGAACATATCAGTACGTGTGTTGATGTATTACACGTTGTATGTGTTGATGTATTACGCGTTGTATATTACTACTGTTCTGAACATATCAGTAAATGTGTTGATGTATTACGCGTTGTATGCAACTACTGTTCTGAACATATCGGTAAGAGTGTTGATGTATTACGCGTTGTATGCAACTACTGTTCTGAACATATCAGTAATTGTGTTGATGTATTACGCGTTGTATGTGACTATTGTTCTGAACATATCAGTAGGTGTACTGATGTATTACACGTTGTATGCGACTACTGTTCTGAACTTATCAGTAAGTGTACTGATGTATTATGCGTTGTATGTGACTACTGTTCTGATCATATCAGTAAGTGTGTTGATGTATACAACGCGTTGTATGTGACTACTGTTCTGATCATATCAGTAAGTGTGTTGATGTATGTGACTACTGTTCTGAACATATTACTGTTCTGAACATATCAGTAAGTGAGTTGATGTATTACGCGTTGTATGTGGCTTCTGTTCTGAACATATCAGTAAATGTGTTGATGTATTACGCGTTGTATATTACTACTGTTCTGAACATATCAGTAATTGTACGGATGTATTACGCGTTGTATGTGACTACTGGTCTGAACATATCAGTAAGAGTGTTGATGTATTACGCGTTGTATGTGCCTACTGTTCTGAAAATATCAGCAAGTGTATTGATGTATTACGCGTTGTATGTGCCTACTGGTCTGAACATATCTGCAAGTGTATTGATGGATTACGCGTTGTATGTGACTTCTGTTCTGAACATATCAGTAAGTGTGTAGGTGTATTACGCGTTGTATGTGACTACTATTCTGAACATATCAGTAAGTGTGTTGGTGTATTACGCGTTGTATGTGCCTACTGTTCTGAAAATATCAGCAAGTGTATTGATGTATTACGCGTTGTATGCGATTACTGTTCTGAACATATCAGTAAGTCTACTGATGTATTACGCGTTGTATGCGACTACTGTTCTGAACTTATCAGTAAGTGTACTGATGTATTACGGTAAGTGTGTTGATGTATTACGCGTTGGATGCGACTACTGTTCTGAACATATCAGTACGTGTGTTGATGTATTACACGTTGTATGCGACTACTGTTCTGAACATATCAGTACGTGTGTTGATGTATTACACGTTGTATGTGGCTTATGTTTTGAACATATCAGTAAGTGTGTTGATATATGACGCGTTGTATGTGACTACTGTACTGAACATATCAGTAAGTGTGTTGATTTATTACGCGTTGTATGTGACTACTGTTCTGATCATATCAGTAAGTGTGTTGATGTATACAACGCGTTGTATGTGACTACTGTTCTGAATATATCAGTAAGTGTGTTGATGTATTACGTGTTGTATGTGACTACTGTTCTGAACATAGCAGTAAGTGTGTTGATGTATTACGCATTGTATGTAACTACTGTTCTGAACAGATCAGTAAGTGTACGGATGTATTACGCGTTGTATGTGCCTACTGGTCTGAACATATCTGCAAGTGTATTGATGTATTACGCGTTGTATGCGACTACTGTTCTGAACTTATCAGTAAGTGTACTGATGTATTATGCGTTGTATGTGACTACTGTTCTGAACATAGCAGTAAGTGTGTTGATGTATTACGCATTGTATGTAACTACTGTTCTGAACATATCAGTAATTGTGTTGATGTATTACGCGTTGTATGGGACTACTGTTCTGAACATATCAGTAAGTGTGTTGATGTATTACACGTTGTATGTGGCTTCTGTTTTGAACATATCAGTAAGTGTGTTGATGTATTACGCGTTGTGTGTGCCTACTGTTCTGAACATATCAGTCAATGTGTTGATGTATTACGCGTTGGATGTGACTACTGTTCTGAACATAACAGTAAGAGTGTTGATGTATTACGCATTGTATGTGGCCTCTGTTCTGAACATATCAGTGAATGTGTTGATGTATTACGCGTTGTGTGTGCCTACTGTTCTGAACATATCAGTCAATGTGTTGATGTATTACGCGTTGGATGTGACTACTGTTCTGAACCTATCAGTAAGTGTGTTGATATATGACGCGTTGTATGTGACTACTGTTCTGAACATATCAGTAAGTGTGTTGATGTATTACGCATTGTATGTGGCTTCTGTTCTGAACATATCAGTAAATGTGTTGATGTATTACGCGTTGTATGCGACGCGACTACTGTTCTGAACATATCAGTAAGTGTGTTGATGTATTACGCATTGTATGTGGCTTCTGTTCTGAACATATCATGTACTGATGTATTACGCGTTGTATGTGACTACTGTTCTTAACATATCAGTAAGTGTGTTGATGTATTACGCGGTGTATGCGACTACTGTTCTGAACATATCAGTAAGTGTGTTGATGTATTAAGCGTTGTATGCGACTACTGTTCTGAACATATCAGTAAGCGTGTTGAAGTATTACGAGTTGTATGCGACTACTGTTCTGAACATATCAGTAAGTGTGTTGATGTATTAAGCGTTGTATGCGACTACTGTTCTGAACATATCAGTAAGTGTGTTGGTGTATTACGTGTTGTATGTGACTACTGTTCTGAACATATCAGTAAGCGTGTTGATGTATTACGCGTTGTATGTGACTACTGTTCTGAACATATCCGTAAGAGTGTTGATGTATTACGCGTTGTATGTGCCTACTGTTCTGAACATATCAGTAAGAGTGTTGATGTATTACGCGTTGTATGCGACTACTGCTCTGAACATATCAGTAAGTGTGTTGGTGTATTACGCGTTGTATGCGACTACTGTTCTGAACATATCAGTAAGCGTGTTGATGTATTACGCGTTGTATGTGACTACTGTTCTGAACATATCCGTAAGAGTGTTGATGTATTACGCGTTGTATGTGCCTACTGTTCTGAACATATCAGTAAGAGTGTTGATGTATTACGCGTTGTATGTGACTACTGTTCTTAACATATCAGTAAGTGTGTTGATGTATTACGCGGTGTATGCGACTACTGTTCTGAACATATCAGTAAGTGTATTGATGTATTACGCGTTGTATGTGACTACTGTTCTTAACATATCAGTAAGTGTGTTGATGTATTACGCGGTGTATGCGACTACTGTTCTGAACATATCAGTAAGCGTGTTGATGTATTACGCGTTGTATGTGACTACTGTTCTTAACATATCAGTAAGTGTGTTGATGTATTACGCGTTGCATGCGACTACTGTTCTGAACATATCAGTAAGTGTATTGATGTATTACGCGTTGTATGCGACTACTGTTCTGAACATATCAGTAAGCGTGTTGATGTATTACGCGTTGTATGTGACTACTGTTCTGAACCTATCAGTAAGTGTGTTGATGTATTACGCGTTGTATGCGACTAATGTTCTGAACATATCAGTAAGTGTGTTGATGTATTACGCGGTGTATGCGACTACTGTTCTGAACATATCAGTAAGCGTGTTGATGTATTACGCGTTGTATGTGACTACTGTTCTTAACATATCAGTAAGTGTGTTGATGTATTACGCGTTGTGTGTGCCTACTGTTCTGAACATATCAGTAAGTGTGTTGGTGTATTACGCGTTGTATGCGACTACTGTTCTGAACATATCAGTAAGTGTGTTGATGTATTACGCGTTGTAAGGTCCAAGTCCTCCTGGTCAGCCAGCTGATCATCATCCAAATCTGAGTCAAATTCCTCGACTCCTTTGGTACCGATTACTTTCCCTCCTATCGTCAGTTTCACATCATCTCCAAACATCTCCTGTTGGATTAAATATTACATAAAATCAATATTCAGTTATGAATTATTTGTTTGATATTGAATGTGTGTGTGTGTGGGGGGGGGGGGGGTTAAAAGGAAATAGGATCTTTTAAATTTGTAATAACACATAAGTTATCTTATGCTCTATTCCCACTACAAATTTGTCATTATTGTTACTTTGCATTTTGGTTAGCAATATATATTAGTTTTCACCTCAACTTAACCAAAGACTTGGATGCAATTTTCTTTCCTTACCTTCAGCCTTTTAGCTATCTCTATCGCCGAAAGACTAGGATCGATTCCAAGTCTCCTCAGAGTTTCGTCGTCAAGTTCACTTAAATCTATCTTCTTTTTCTTCAGCCGGAGTCTGCCGTCAGCTCCCACCTCTATGACAGGTTCTGGTGGCTTCGGTTTGGTTTCTACGGATGTTAATATTTTACGTTATTGGATTATCAGTACTCCAGGAAAAGACTGAAATAAATGCAACACTCAGGGACACCATTCAAATGTTCCAATGCAAAACAACCACATAAATCGAGGTATCGTGAATACCAAATTTTTTCTCTATTTAAAGTAAAAAGAAGTGTTTCATGTCAATTTTGTTTTCGTATTTTCGAACAATGTCTACTGGTAATAGGAGTTTACCTTTATTATCTTCCCCGGAGTCCTCATCTTTGACAAACTGAGCTTCATCCGTATCTGAAAATATTTGTTTAATAGAATACACGTGTAGGTTTTTACAAACCATGACGAACGCTATGTGTATTGATCCTGAATATATTTAACATTGTTATTTTCTCCCTTTCGATTATAAAATTAAAATTATATTATGTATAATTTCCTTAGAGATAGTTCGTTAACATTATTTATAACATCGTAATTAGAAATATGGTTTTGACCCATTCCTTACCCATTGTCGATTCTTTATCCACCATAGAATGCTTCAATATAAGAAAAAAACGTTACACAGATGTGCTACATTGTAGCTCGTGTATGAGTATATCATTATCAGATCAGCATTAATGGTATCGAAATTCACGTCGCTCATTCATGCTTATATACGATATATTGGTTTCAAATATACATATGTAGATGTGATTATACACTAATTATAAGGTAATATGTCTTGATTAACATGTACATTTACCCACTCACGAAAATAGCATAACTTTGGTACAGCTTGAAACTCGCCAAAATTGAAATATGAAGTGTTTTAAAGTGCAAAGATGTTGTTCCACGTGTATATTGCTCTCTCTCTGTGTTTCTATTTCTTCAACGATTTTGAATTACAACAATAATGACAGACTGGTAATAGCACATAAAACATTGAAACTAATCATAAAATGCCCGTAAGATGCTATATATTACTATGCTAAAGTTTACTTATTAATCTATTAAATCATTCCGTTTATGAATAGAAAAAACAGACTTTCATGACAGAAGTTTTTCAGTCAATTCAAAATATCGAACATTTATTTTAAAACATTTCTAAAATATTACCAATAAATGTGTTTTTTTTATACTTCAATAAAACGTGTTGGTAAAAGATATCAGAATAAGTCACAACTTACCTTAGCGTTCTTGCCTCTCTGATCATCTGTAAGGTTAGAGAAGATCACGATGAATTAAACAACAATTTCATTGATATGATTACTATCAATATTTCTTTAACACGTTTCCGTCTTCACATGGCCTTATCTCTGGCCGGAACATATAACCCCAAACAAACAAATTTCAACAGGTAAACAAATATATAAAAATGTCAAAATTAAACTTATTACTGTTATTTGTATAAGTCATATAACTTAACTAATGAGTATCGAAAGGTTTATTACATAACAAAACATTAAAGTATCTTCAATAGGATTCATCAGTTTGGAAATATGTGATATAAAAGTTTTCCTTTATATTCAAACAATGTACGTATTAAACGTGTCGCAACGTTTTAAGACCGACTGGTCCCTTGTCAAGTTATGACTGAGGACTTGACAAAGGGACCAGTCGGTCTTGAAACGTTGCGACACGTTTAATACGTACATTGTTTGTGTATAAAGTAAAACTTTGATATCAAAACATTGAAGTGACAAATACTGACCACCTGTGTAGAGTTTGCCCTGGGGAATCGGAGGGAGTTTCTGTAACATCGTCGTCTCTCTCTTAAACTTTGGCATAAAACCCTCGTTCATACTGCTGTCACTTCCTATACGGTGAAGAAAAACGCATGTGTAGCGGTGTTCCGTGACCATAAAAATAGTTGGTAGTATAGAAAAGAGAAAACAAGAATGTGAGCTTTGTTTCATTAAGTAGTAGAGGGAAAACTCTGATCGTAACTGCTTTATTAACGAATGAAAGAAAAGAAAAATGATATTTTTTTTCAAAACAGATATGACGAATTGACGTACATGATTGTAAGCATGTGGACTTTGTGTTATTACATTAGAAGGGGGAAAGTCTTTGAAAGAATTTGCTTTAGTGGCAATTTAAAATAAATATAAAAGTTTTGTTTTTATTTTGTTTGCTTTTTTATTTATTTCAATAGCTTCCAATTTATCGGATATAACGAATGGAAGTATATGCTTGTTGCAAGTAAAATTATGATTAAATATTAAAACCTAGTGTTGAATGATAATATAGGCAGCACTTTACTTATATACCTAGCGTGTACTTACCTAGTCTGCTTCTACCTTCTTTGTCTTTCCTTCCCCATCTTACAAAAAAAGAAAGTATACATCAAGGTAAAACATCTTTTATATCCATTTTCGTTGAACATCTTATTACTTATAATAGAGTTGTGATGCGCTTAACTATTGCATTTAATATGAATGATTCGGCACTGAACATCATGATGTTACAAAAGTTAAGCAGATAAATAATATGTAGACATCATACTCGATCAGCCAACGTATTCAACATATAAAGAAATATTACACCTTCATTTATTGTATTGAAAAGAGTCACGGTAGTCTAGTGGTAGGACAACGTGGTTGGGCAGAGCTAGAATTGTTCAATGCTAGCTGTGAGCGTCGAAATGGCAGCACCGGCTGTATGCTCCCCAGGGAGTTGAGAAATGTGTTGGCTGGTTGCAAAAGCCCTATAACCACAGATGATAATTTGTGAACCGCTTCGAGACGACCTACGAACTAGGTTGTGATAAAGTGGTATATAAGAACTTCTAATTTTCATTATTTTTGATATCGATTTGTTATCGACAGTTTTGTATATATGACCTTTATTCATTCCTATGTAAAAGTCTCCAAAACCAGTGCATAAGTTTCGTTCGATTTAAACGAAATTATTTGAGTTTATAAAGCAAACCTTTTTGAATTTCTCAAAATTGTACAGGTTAAAAATTAATGTCGTTCATATTTCTTATTACTGTAATCGCCATTGTTTCCGATATCAAGTAGATTGTGGTCTGGAGTAAGTGTTGCCATAAAGTAGATTGTGGTCTTGAGAAAGTGTTGCCATAAAGTAGATTGTGGTCTGGAGTAAGTGTTGCCATAAAGTAGATTGTGGTTTGGAGTTAGTGTTGCCATAAAGTAGATTGTTGTCTGGAGTAAGTGTTGCCATAAAGTAGACTGTTCTCTGGATTAAGTGTTGCCGTAAAGTAGATTGTGGTATGGAGTTAGTGTTGCCATAAAGTGGATTGTGGTCTGGAGTAAGCGTTGCCATAAAATTGACTGTGGTCTGGAGTAAGTGTTGCTATAAAGTAGATTGAGGTTTGGAGTTGGTGTTGCCATAAAGTAGATTGTTGTCTGGAGTAAGTGTTGCCATAAAGTAACCTGTTCTCTGGATTAAGTGTTGCCGTAAAGTAGATTGTGATATGGAGTAAGTGTTGCCATAAAGTAGATTGTGGTTTGGAGTTAGTGATGCCATAAAGTAGATTGTTGTCTGGAGTAAGTGTTGCCATAAAGTAGACTGTTGTCTGGATTAAGTGTTGCCGTAAAGTAGATTGTGGTATGGAGTAAGCGTTGCCATAAAGTGGATTGTGGTCTGGAGTAAGCGTTGCCATAAAATTGACTGTGGTCTGGAGTAAGTGTTGCCATAAAGTAGATTGAGGTTTGGAGTTAGTGTTGCCATAAAGTAGATTGTTGTCTGGAGTAAGTGTTGCCATAAAATAGACTGTGGTCTGGAGTAAGCGTTGCCATAAAGAAGGAAATAAAGAAATACCACAGGTAAACACCTGTACCCTGTGTGGATAAAAAAGGTTGTGAAGTGAGGATAATATATTCTGCAAAAAGTAAATTTTCGAAACACTAGAACTTACGACTCATGTCTGAGACCATGATCACGTTTGTCAGCCGACTTTTTCGGTCCATACTCCCTTGGGGTTCCTTTCTCATACGTCACCATACTTTTAGGAGTTTCCCGCGGTTTCCCTGAAAGCAGGGACGAACGTCTCACAGATGATCTACGTCGTTCTTTTTCTGTTTGCTCTTTCTCCAGTCTTTCCTGTTCGTCATTTTCCTTTTGCTCCTTTATAAGCTGCTCTAGACGTTTTCTTTGAAATGAAAATATTTTAAATTGAAAATAGATTTAACGTTTTTATCAACACAAGTGACTTCCCTTTCTGATTCCAATTCATAGGGAAATCAGTATAGATAACAGCAGATGAAATAAGGTTTACAACTCGACATTATTTCATATAACATAAATGTTTTGTAAACATTATTTGTGTATGTTTTATTAATCAGGAGAGAACATATTTTAATTGCTATGATAGTTAACAAGTATTTCATGTTTTTCGATTCAACACGCAAGTCACATGTTTGTCTTCAAATCACAAGAGCTTCCGATAACGATGAAGTAAAACATGTACCGTGGGTCAAACAAAGTAATTAGAAATTATTACTACAATCAAATTTCTTACTGTTCTTTTCTCTTCAGTATTTCGTCATAACGACTTCCGTATTTCTCCCTCCTTCTCTTCTCTCTTGCCTGTTTCTTTCGTTCCTTTTCGGCAAAATATTCTTTCTTTTCATTTTCGGTCATGTTAGATAAGTCGACATCGTCGTCTGTTGTAGCGTCACTAAATTCTGAAGGCACTTTGTCATCCGCGTCAGCTCCTAGAACCCAGATATAAAAATAACAATGTTAATACAACAACAACCAAAGGCATATTTATTTCAGTACTTTTTAACACGCGACGTGACCAGGAGACTTGCCGTCGTATGAATTCATTTTTCGATATTAGATTGAGTCTTGCGGGCTGGTTGTACACTGAGAAAACATGATGTTAAGATAACGAGGTAAGTGACAGGAAATGGGTAATAATACGGCAGAGGTAATGTTTTCTTTAATGTCGGTAGTTCATTGATTGAAATATCATGTCAGCATAGCTTTGTATTGCTTTTTGTTATTGGTAACACATTATCTTCGATTTTTATCAGCTTGGCAAGAAATGTGCATTTCATCTAAACTATATTGTAGACTCAATGATTGTTTTATAAATGTAAACGATGTAACAGCTTAATGATTGTTGTATATTTGTGATGTGGATTCAGTGATTGTTGTATATTTGTGATGTGGATTCAGTGATTGTTGTATAGTTATGATGTGGATTCAGTGATTGGTGTATATTTGTGATGCGGACTCAGTGATTGTTGTATATTTGTTACGTGGATTCAGTGATTGTTATATATTTGTGATGTGGATTCAGTGATTGTTGTATATTTGTGATGTGGATTCAGTGATTGGTGTATATTTGTTACGTGGATTCAGTGATTGTTGTATAGTTATGATGTGGATTCAGTGATTGTTGTATATTTGTGATGTGGATTCAGTGATTGTTGTATATTTGTGATGTGGATTCAGTGATTGTTGTATAGTTATGATGTGGATTCGGTGATTGTTGTATATTTGTGATGTGGATTCAGTGATTGTTGTATATTTGTGATGTGGATTCAGTGATTGGTGTATAATTGTTACGTGGATTCAGTGATTGTTGTATAGTTATGATGTGGATTCAGTGATTGGTGTATATTTGTGATGCAGACTCGGTGATGGGTGTATATTTGTGATGTGGATTCAGTGATTGGTGTTTATTTGTGATGAGAACTCAGTGATTGGTGTATATTTGTTATGTGAATTCAGTGATTGTTGTTAATCTTTGATGAGGACTCAGTGATTGTTGTATATTTGTGATGCGGCTTCAGTGATTGTTGTATATTTGTGATGCGGATTCAGGGATTGTTGTATATTTGTGATGCCGATTCGGTGATTTTTGTATTTTTGTAATGCGGATTAAGTGATTATTTTATAGTTGTGATGAAGATTCAGTGATTGTTTTAAAATTGTGATGCGGCTTCAGTGATTGTTGTATAATTGTGAAGCAGATTCAGTGATTGTTGAATATTTGTGATGTGGATTCAATGTTTGTTTTATATTTGTGATGCCGATTCAAAGATTGTTTTATATTTGTGATGCGGATTCAGTCATTGTTTTATATTTATAACCTGGGTTTAGTGATTATTTTATTTTGTGATGCGGATTCAGTAATTGCTTTTAATTTGTGTTATGGATAAAATGATTTTTGTATATTTGTGATGCGGATTTTTGGTGATTGCTGTTTATTTTTGATGAGGACTCAGTGGTTGATGTATATTTGTGATGTGAATTCAGTGATTGGTGTATATTTGTGATGCGGACTCAGTGATTGATGTATATTTGTGATGTGGATTCAGTGATTGGTGTATATTTGTGATGTGGACTCAGTGATTGGTGTATATTTGTGATTCGGACTCAGTGATTGGTGTATATTTGTGAGTGGATTCAGTGATTGGTGTATATTTGTGATGTGGACTCAGTGATTGGTGTATATTTGTGATTCGGACTCAGTGATTGGTGTATATTTGTGATGGGATTCAGTGATTGGTGTATATTTGTGATGTGGACTCAGTGATTGGTGTATATTTGTGATTCGGACTCAGTGATTGGTGTATATTTGTGATGTGGATTCAGTGATTGGTGTATATTTGTGATGTGGACTCAGTGATTGGTGTATATTTGTGATGCGGACTCAGTGATTGGTGTATATTTGTGATGTGGATTCAGTGATTGGTGTATATTTGTGATGTGGACTCAGTGATTGGTGTATATTTGTGATGCGGACTCAGTGATTGGTGTATATTTGTGATGTGGATTCAGTGATTGGTGTATATTTGTGATGTGGACTCAGTGATTGGTGTATATTTGTGATGCGAACTCAGTGATTGTTGTATATTTGTGATGTGGATTCAGTGATTGGTGTATATTTGTGATGCGGACTCAGTGATTGGTGTATATTTGTGATGCGGATTCAGTGTTTGGTGTATATTTGTGATGCGGATTCAGTGATTGTGTTACATTTGTGATGCGGATACAATCATGCGTTACCAAAAGTCGACTTCTTCATGATGTGTAAATCAATTCAAATTGAGGAACACAAATGATTGAATAAATGGAATCAATAACTTAAGCACGAACAAGTTGCATATATGTTCTTGTAAAAAAAGTGATTTAAGTACGTCAGTCAATTTACTTAACCAATCACTAGTCTTCTTTCGAGGAATTCAACATTCCTCCTCCTAACACCAAACCGAAGTTGAGTGATCAAAGACAACGAGATATGCGTTAAACAATCTCGGATAGCTTTCACGTTTTATTTCTGTGTACCATATAACAAATTCAGATCACAGAGGTGATGAATTAGATATATCGATGATCCTCATAACTTAATCAGTAAAACATTAGCTGAAACAAGGAAGAAATCACTTCGTTATTGGAATAGCTAAATACTTAGAATTACTTATAATTAAAAAGAAGACTGTTATATGGAGGAAGTACGGTTATGCATAAAGCACTCATTCACACTGCAAACACAATAATGCATACTGAATTTAGCACGCATTATATATTCACGCTTACAATTCGCATACACGAACCTGGCCATTTTTCATCTTCAATACCATTCTCGCTATAGTCAGGCACGCCCATGTCTGCATGCGCCTTGCTGTCTATGGGAATGTCTGGAAGGTTCTTTATGCTGCAATGAAGACACGATGTCAATGACTGCTTTCACTTGACAAAGTTTTTACATTACAAATATCCCAAATTGTTATAGTACACTTAGTTACAACAACAACAGCAGATGTTGTAGAAAATGTGTAACAAGAAGTAATCTACCCGAATACAGTAAAGTTACTTTAACTTTCTGAATCTTAGTTCCTACATTTCATGATAAGTATGAATGAAACCACAGTCACACTTGAAATTAATGAACATGTAAAGAATTAAACACATGATACTTACCTTTCGTCAATAGAGCCTGAAACAGTTGGTGAGTCAGTTCAAACATATATCATAACAATAGAACCTCCGTATAAAAAATGGTCAACATTTCTTTTTCTGTCTTTGCGAAAACAGATAATAAAATTAAATTGGACGATTTGAAAGCATTTTTTGTATGGCGAACATCTAATATTGTTTGTACAAAAAGCGGGTCGGGGCATTGGCGGTCAAAATACAAAACAAAAACAATACACTTCCCTATATGATTTTCTAATAGTAAAAATTACAGTTTTTCACAATGTTGCTTTCCGTTTAACTTTGCCGTAGAACTTATTCAGTAAAATGTAAAAACTTAACTATTTTAAATTTTTGTATTCAAGAGAGTGTACACTATAGTTCAATTAGCGTCATTTAGTTATTCTGTATAGAAATCATCAAGACTTTGAACAGTACTAGACTTTAGATACATTTAAATTGAGAAGTGCAAATTTCAACGATGAATGACTGTTTTTTAGCAATTAGACAAAAGAAATCACTTTACAGTAACATTTCAGTGAATAACACTCTTTAACAACTAACCTCGCCGAGTCTTGACCGACTCCGTATCGCTGACGGCTTTCCCTGCGGGTTTAGGTTCTCCGTATCCAATAATGTTTCCGTCAGCATCTCTTACCCGCTTCCGTTTTGTTTCATACCTTGTCCCGCCTTCGCTAGTTTCACTTGCGTAACTATAATCGGTAGAAGACGAGTCTGAATCACTATCGTTTCCACTGTCTTTAGACAACCGACTCGTTTCTCCGTCTTCTCCTTCGTCATTTCCGTCTTCATCATCCGGGTCCTCTCTGTCAGAGCTTTGGTATGACTCACTTGCACTGTACGTCCCATCCTCGTGTCGTTTCCTTCTACGAACGTGGCGCGTCCCTCCCTCACTCACCACGCTGTAGTAGCTATGAGCACTGTTCGCTCCGTGCGCACGATCTCTCCGTCTCCTCCTCCGACGTGTCTCACCGTCTTCATCTTGACTGCTATGGTACGAGGCACTGTCGCTGTATGTCCCGTCGGCGCGTTTGCGCCTGCGCCTTACATGGCGCGTGCCTCCAGCGCTCACAACACTTCTATAACTGTAATCACTGTCGCTATCGCCGTCCCTTTTTCCTGCCTTAAGAGCAAGTTTCTTTTCTTTTCCAACTTTTCCAGCAACTTTACCTCCCTTTCCCTGGCCTTTGCTTCCTCTACGTCCTCCTATGTTACTACAATTGTGTATACACACGTTAATAATAGGACCTTATAGCATAACACTGATACATAATTATATTCAAGATATTACAGTTTATGACAAATTCTCTTTTAAATTTGTACTTTTTGCATTGCTCATTAAAAATTCAACAACTCTTTAATGTATTGTTGTTATAATACAAAAAAAAATCAAAGCAATAGGTTCGAAATTAAACCTGGTTTTAAAAAAAAAATAACGTTTTTCTGATGTTATATATATTCAGTTATATCACGTGTACCTTATATAATACATTGTTAGTTCTCCCAAATACTTTGCTATGGAGCTGTTTTGTGTTACATTTTAACTAGCAGAAATAAAGAGGCGCATTTCCAATTTCAAATTCTTGAAAGATTTTATTTTTTGATAATTCAAGATATATTTGCCAATTTTTGAGTTAATATATGAGCTTACCGTATTACAAATATAACACAGCAAAACGTGTACCCCTTGATTTACAATATTTGTGTATATACTGGCTTTTTATGACGAATTTCTCAGCTGCATTTTACTACCACCTTACCTCCCCCTAGTTTGATAACTAAAAATCAGACATCTAAGTGAACAAAATTATGAAGATTTTATTCCTCTTGTTTTCTAAATAATTCAATATTCTAGAGACCGGGGAAGTCAATTATACTGGGCGTTTCATAAAGCATGTTCCCACTTTGCCGATCAACAAAATATGTCACAAATGATCTATCATAGTAGGACATATATGAACGAAAAGAATGTGAACATAATATAATATTGTATATCACTGTCGATCAAACTGTAAAATATTAATAGCAATAACATTGCATTAAGAACAACGATTACATTTGATAATTAACTAGTCATTTAATACATGTAAAATGGTCCAGAATGTATACCTCTCCTAATTATTCGGAAATAAGTTTGAAACAGTGGCCTATGTATGTATTTTTAAAAACAAATTTGCTTACCAGATAAAGGTATAGCAGATGGATACTTCTTTATAAAAAACATGTTCATAAGTGTTCATGATTTCCAATTTGCGTAATAAAATACAACAAATATGTATGCGTAATAATGTATCAACATGAACATCACTCATTTTGTCCATCTTCAACAAACCTAATTACCGGTTTTTTTATGAAACAACAATTATGACGACATGAATCATGTCTGCTCATACTTTCTAATACACTTTCTGCTTTGTAATGACAGAAATGTTTATTGTGTGTGCGTAAAGGCATAGACATTTAAATTGAGGACATGTTTTTCGAAACTCCGTGCGTATCAAATGGTTTAATCATTGACGAAATCAGCATTATGGTACACATCCCATTTGATGTTGGACAATGTCTTCAAATGTTTGCAAATTAATTTTAATTTTCTTTGTCAGAAATAATTTCAAAACAATCGTGAGATACCGATTCTCCAAAAGTTAACTTGGAATAAGTTACGGTAATGAAATAATGTGCAGATTATCTGTTATGTGCCCTAGATATTGTGTCAGGTATTTACCTCTTTTGCATGGAAACACGTCTACCTCCGGCAACGGCTTCTACAAAACATAATACCATTAAAACATAATTCTACTTTATTGTTCTCAACCTTGACCGGGTGATGTGTGCGGTGATCGAGGTTCAATAACGTGCAACATCAAAGTGAGAGATTGTTTCATATCTTAAACGTGTCTCTACTTCATATGACATATGTGAAACAAGTCTAGAAGTGTTATATTTGCGAACCTTTGTCTCATTTTACGACGTTACAATTGTCCATTGTCTACCAGAAGCTTGTAAAGTTACGTTTAGTCATTTCTATTCTATTACAATTTAAAATGTTTAACGCACTATGAAAACGTAATGGAAGGGTACTTTGTTTTGCTCCACTATTTAGGGAAATTGTTACTTGCTTTAAAATAGAAATTCTTTTTCAACATTGTAACGGTGCTTCGTAAAAGACGACATGTATTATGTGAATCAGAATACCAATTTTATTGCGGTAATTCTGGGGTATGTTTTAACAAATCCGTTTTGCAGATTTGGTCGAGACAAGAATGTTAAGTACATTACGCTGAGACCAAGATTATTCGGCTCAGTCATCAACAGATTTCGACTATTTTTCATGTACTCAAACGTGTAAAACCAACAACAACAAAACAGGATTTTTGATATTTTTGATACGATAGCAAACAGGCTAGTTATTATCAGACCAATAGACCGATTTTATCCTCAGGAAGAAGAAACAATTTATATCCATTTTGTTTTGTATTCAGAGATATAAGACAACTTGAAAGATAAAGAGAAGAAGAATATTTCCATGAAATCTTGGTTTGAGATTTCTGTCAGATGAATAAAAATGTCCCGGGATGTCGCTTTATTGTGAAATATTGATTTTTTTTCTGAAAAAAATGGATTATATCGTTTGTTAGTTCAAAAACACATGCACTGTGCAAACATATATAATGTGACAAATCCGTATTATCGTAAAAGATTACTTACATTATTGTACAAGAAATTGGAGATACATCATGATGTATTGTTAACTTATGATATAGTTCTGTCAATTCTTTGTAGTTCTAAAAAAAACAATATCGAGGAATCTTGAAAAAGTATTTTTATTCATATTTTACAAATTAGTTCGGTACAATACAGTAGTTCAAAACTACAAATAAATAGTTTGTTTTCTTGGCACATCTTAATCACAGTTGCTTAAAGGCATATATCACACATATATGTATCAACAAAACAATAAAACTTATATATAAAATGATAAACATTTGCGTAATTTTGTAACCTAGGTATATTATTTCCTTAGGACTAGCCGAAGCAAAAACTTAAAGATTTCAGCGTAAGATTCCGCGAGAATATCCCTTCGTCACATAATTCGGGACATTCGCAAACTAGACTTTTTGCTCAATCTAAATCATTATATATATCATGTTAATTCGAAACTGTCTGATTCGAAAATTACTCTGCAAAATACTGTACCTTGGTGTTCGGAAAAAAGCACTTTTACTGCAGTATGTAGTAGTCTGATATGGTGGATAATGAAGGATACTGTGTACAAGCGAGAATTTGCGAGATATGATTTTTTGTGACAATTCGAAAGATGCCGATTGCTTAATCCTGTGTTATTAATCAACATTACAAACATCAAAATAATGTTCGTTTTCTTTTTTAATTTGGTTATCTGTTTAAACGATACAAATCCATAATTCCTGTTGGTGATGAAGTATATATTTTCCTCAGTGAAGAAAAATACGCTGTTTAGCACACAGAAAGAACGACGTTCATAGTGTGGCAAAATTATATGTAAAATATAGCCATGCGATGGCATTTATATAGTCCCATATACCACTTATATAAAAGACTTTGTCAGATATTATTTTAGAACTCAAAAATGGCCAAACCTTCAGAATGGATGGTGAAAGAGTCAAAGGACTAATAATTGCACGCATGTTTACTGAATAACATGGAATATGTGTTTGGGGTAATCAAAATAAAAGTAATATGTGTTTATAAGCATTTTGAGATAAAACAGTTCAAAAATAATTCAGAAAACATATTTTTTCGTGTTAAATGTTTAGTGTGTCTCTTTAGTGGGAAATTCTGACTGTTTTATTAGTTTGTAAAAGTTCAAATTATGATAATAACATCAATAGTATATACTAAAGATGAAATTCGTCAATATCAGACATAAAATGTAAAAGAAAAGGTCAATAACTTAGTGATAATATTTACATTTGATTACATTTGATCAGCTTAACATATTTATAATAATGGCATCAACATTCAGGTATTACTTCTATCCTGGGAACCACAAAACTTTATGAACAATCTCAATTTTCAACATCAGAATTATTTAAAAAAAAAAAAAAAAATCTCAATCGTTTGTAGAATTTGTAGAATACATATTAAATTATTTTAAGAAAGAGCATACTGACTTCAATCAGTAGATGTATTACAAAAAAACTATCACCTTGAACGGAAATATTTCACTGAAGAGTACTTAGGTCAGAACGTTTAAGGACTTTTGGAATCATCGGTGACGCTGGGGAATATAAAGGTGTGGTTTTAAATAAATTGGTCGTAACTACCGATGAAACATAATTGGAGGTGTATACAAACTCTAAATAAAGAGGTAAAAACTGTTGTGATATGAGGGTGTCTGTTATTAATGAGAATTTTGTTAAAAAAAAAAACAAACTTTAAAATGTGATTTCATACAATAATGTTAGTTAAATAACTTATCGTTCCTTGTACAATTTCAAGTAATGCCAATTATACAAACTCGCAATACTTAAAATTTTTGAATTGGTTAAATAGCAAACGTAAAAAATAAAATAATAACTTGCAACGTAACTAAGTGATACATGTAATAACGTTTTTCCTTCTGTCCACAATTTTACTTATTATAACAGAGGTAATCAAAGTGCAATAGCTGTAACATGAAGTTAAAGCTGAAAGCTAACACTATAATTAAACTGAATGCATATATTTGCCCAAACTATTCAACACGTATTTAAGTGAAAATGTTAATCAAATTTCAATGTATCGTGTTTAACAGAATATTTTATTGGTGGACGTAAGCTTTAAAACAACATACAATGTCGCCTTTTTTGACCCGATAAAAAAATAACAGTAAATAAAACTCATCATGTGTTAAATTCAAGAAAAGTGTTGATATACAGGCATAGAAAAAATGCTTGATTAAAATTAACACTTTCCCTGCATTCGACCTATGGCTACATCAAAATTATTTATAAATTAAAAGCACAATATATTTACAAATAACATATTTGAACAAGTATAAAATACAAAGTTATAATGACTTTGAATGTCGAACGGATGCATTTATAACACATAATTAATTGACATTATTTACTAAATGCATTCCATCCTCGTTGCTGTGAACAGATTATATAGAAAACGAAAACACAAAATGTCCTCATACAGGACAATAGATGTACTGATATTGTGTATACGGACGCATATTGTTTTTTGTAGCACAGTACCAGAACTTTAAACCAAATGAATATCGCTCTGAGTCTACTTCAAATGAGCTTTTACATCACAATATTCAGGCGTAAAATATCGGAAGTTTCGTTATATTTAATTGATAAACCTATGAGCATACCAAACATGACGCTATCTAAGTTTGCTAAGATTGTCATGCCTCAATACACCATTTGCATCGTAGGAGTCGTTGATTTGGTGGGCACGGATAACTTTCGCTTTGATTCATTTTCCTCCAATATATTCGGTAATCTACAAAAGATGGAAAAATTATGATAATTATACAATTGTCAAAAATATTGTTTAATTCAATCATGATATTTTTTCCGTGTACGGTGATTTGTCTATAGTCCCCTTACTTTATTTCCTAACTAAATGCATATGGTAATTCATATCAATATGTTATGTATGCACTTAAAAACTAATGAAATAAAAAAAACAGGATTGCCACATTTAACAGTAGTTTTATTTTTATGTAAACAAGTGTCTGTTCCCGGGTAAGGTTTTTGTTTATTTTCTTGGTTAAGTTAATATATAGTTGCAAAAAAATGCAAAATACAAAAACTACAGCTGTTTGCCTATTTCTTACGTTGCGTATTTGTTGAGAAGTTCAACTTTTTCATCTTTTATCTTATTTGGATCAATTTTGCCCTCGATAAGATCCTGTGCCTGCTTCCGAAGCTGAAAGGTCGATGTCTTCTTTAGAGGCATTCCGAGAGGATTCATGTCTCGTTGTCTGGTGCCACCAGAGAGTTGGCGTAGTTTCTGATTATATTTCTGGTCTGACATGTCCAGTGGATTGTCAACAATATTGTCATGCATCGACAAGAACAGGGGTACGTACACGAGGTAGTCAAGAAAGGATATCTAAAAAAAACCATTGAAGATACATACAGTTGTTAACACTAGCCATGAGTGTACCGTTATCAGGTAAATCATATATTCGCATGGTTGTTGAAATTCAGGACTATCAAATTCCGAAATACAACCTCTTCAAAAGACAATTTTTAAAACATCTTTTCCTGTAAAATGTATTAAAGGATCCCTGTACCACTGCCAAAAACTGTGTTTGAAACTGTTGTTTCCGGAATGACTGTAGCTTTGATAAATAATTCTGTAAATACAAGAATACCTTGCGGGACTTAAATGAAAATAATACATGTAAAATAAACAAAATAAATTAACAACAGTGTTCTCAGTGTAAAAATCATCGGGGCAAGACCAGGATTCGAACACACGATTTCAGGGTTTTTTTGCGTGGTTCTATCGACCTTATCGATTGAGCTTCCAGGTCGATGCAAATTCCCTGGCCCAACTGTGATACAGTTTATATTTAAACGGAAGTGAGGAAAGCAAACAGTACAGTGCAGTTGGACAGGGATCCTGAATGAGGTGAACATATAAACATACATGTACATGTATATTTTAAACGTGTAATAATAATTTTAATCAACTTGAATGAACTTACGGATGGGATATCATAAACCAGACATATTAAACCAATGATTTGAATGACTTTTACCTTTATGAGCGAAAATTG